CTGCAAGTATTCAATTTATACTACTTTTCTGCATATCCAATTTTTTTTTCTTTGGGAATGTATAACTTTGACTTTATCGTCGTTTTATTAATATATATCCATTTTATTTTATAGCAACTGTATAATAACAGGGCTTCTTGTGGCCCTCGTATTTTATGATCATAATTAATGGATTAATGGAATCACAGGCAACAGAAATCATATTAAAATATTTTTAAAGATGTGCTATACGATATTATGGAATTTTTTATGGTTGCACGAATTTTCTTATCTACTTAAAACTCATCTTGTCACGCGTATATCATGCGCACATATTCGTGTCACGGCTAGATCTCTTCGTTTTAGTATCAGGAATAAGTAATACGTTCAAATAGTTGGTTATATTGAGGGCCGCGATCACAAGAGAACAAAATATTGATAAAACATCGATTTCACATAAAGTTATTTCACGTCATTGGCATGGTGTAGGATTGTTATGGAGATTCGCACATCGACATGACTCATGCCACGATTTCCCATTATGGTCAGTTATCTATCTAAAGTTTAATCAATATGATCCTTGAAGGGCCGCGAGTAGGGCATGCGAAAGATTGAAAAAAATTTAGGTTATTTCATTGAAAAATTTCCAGTTTTCAAGGTTTTAACGGCCTATTTTTTTTAAATAAAAAAGACTTGGGCACTCAATTTTTTCTATAAATGTTAGTAATAGGATGCTCTATCGAAATGGCATATAAGTATTTGCTTACAATTTCACATAGCTACAATAATTGCAGTGTTATGGCTATTTCACGAGATCATAGGCTCGACTCAACTCACAGCTAGCATGCATGCCATATGCAAGAGAAAACATAATGGTGGCGCTACTGTCGCTCTCCCTGATTACCAACTTATACATTAGACAAATGTACTTTTACCCCCTTTTTTTCCTTAACTCCTAAATATATGTTTCCCTTTTACCTCTGTAATAGTCATACGTACAGGCTATTTTAATAAAACAGAAGCTTGATAAACATTATGGTGATTGTGCACCTTCGATTAGAATGGTTTATAAGTGGTTTCAAAATTTTCGGAGTGGCCATATGAGCACAAAAGATGTTGAACGTTCTGGACGCCCTGTTGAGGTTACCACTTCAGAAATCATTGATAAATTGATATGGTGATGGCTGATAGAAGAGTGAAAGTGCGTGAGATTGCTAGTACTGTAGACATCTCGAGCGAACGGGTACATAATTTTTTGCGCCAACATTTGGACATGAAAAAGCTATCCGCTAGATGGGTGCCGCAATTGCTCACGATTAGCCAAAAACGAGATCGTGTGAAGTGTTGGAAGAATGGTTTGCAGCTGTTCCAGTAAAATCCGTAAGACTTTAAGCGTTGTTTCATCACTGTAGATGAAATATGGATACATCACTACACTCCTGAGACCAAAGAATAGTCTAAACAATGGGTTACCAAGGGGGAATCTGCTCCGAAAAAGGCGAAGACAATTCCTTCGGCCGGGAAGGTTATGGAGACTGTCTTTTGGGATTCGCAAGGAATAATCTTCATCGACTATCTGGAAAAGGGTAAAACCATTAGAGGCGAATATTATTCATCGTTATTGGATCGTTTGAAAACCGAGTTGCTAGAGAAACGTCCACGATTGGCCCACAAAAAAGTCCTCTTCCACCACGACAATGCGCTAGCTCACGCTTCAGCAGTTGTGGCTGCAAAATTGATGGAGATAGAGTTCCAACTCGTTTCATGTCCCCCTTATTCTCCAGACTTGGATCCGTCGGACTTCTATTTGTTCCCTAATATGAATAAATGGCTGGCGGGGAAAAGATTTTATTCAAACGAGAAGGTGATTGCAGAAACGAATGCCTATTTTGCAGACTTGGACAAATCCTATTATTTGGAAGGGATTAACAAACTAGAGCAGCATTGGATGAAGTGTATAAGCCTAGAAGGAGACTATGTTGAAAAATAAAAAAGATTTATTAAAAAAAATCAAGCAGTTTTTATTTTTGTACGAACTTTTCAAACGACTCTCGTACAATTAAAGAAAAAATTAAAAAATTCTACGAAAAATATAATTCCAGACTTCAAAATCACCCAGATAAACTTGTGAATAAACTTTTTAAGACATTTATCGCCAACATCAGTGTAACGAGTGAGGAGTAGCCGAAATAAAGATTTATATTGTTTTTTTGTTTTATTTCCTTAAAGTTATTACACCTAACCGGCATAAAAAACCCGATAGTAAGCGGGAAAAAGTCGGTATCCAACAAATTTAAACAACAATACAACTTTACGAAGACGGCGAGAGAGGAGCGGTGTAATTATTCAAATGCGAGTTAGCTGTAGACTAAGATTCTAATCGGCGCATCCTTCGGATAACATTTACACCAAGCCTTCTAGGACTTTTGAGAAGAACGCGCACTGTCGCCACGCTTTTTTGGTACTGTGAAGTCTGGAGCCTCTCAAAATTAATTTATTGGAGGTGCAAAGGGATGGCTTAACGGCAACGATGCGCACTCAGCGAACACCCACGTCAATGGGCCAAATCGAGGGCGCAAGCGAGCCACGGAAATTTTTTTTTGTTAACATATATTTTCTAAGATCCAATCGGTTAACCTGCTCTGTCCTCAACCTTACGTGACTTAACATAACGCTACGTCTCTTCCTTAATCCAAGTATAATTATAACTCCCTTAACCTACACGCAAACACATTTTTCTTAGCCTAACGCAATCTATTTCCATCGAAAGATGTAAACGAGTCCTAAATTACCTAGGCTATCTAGACTGTTCGTACGTGCATTTGTTTGGGTCGCCGATTGCGCATATGGGCCTAATTCCCAGACGCTCTAGCGTATTTCCCCGATGCTATGTAAATAAGGGTATGCTTCCGTACGCATTTCCTACAATCAGACTGAAGAAAAATTAACTAATGATGGTGTTAATAAAGACAGTATACTTACTAGAGTATACTGATGTTTATTATGTGTGTGTGTGTGTCTAATAAAAACAAGTTTTGCTTATTATGTCAATACGTTAGATAGATTTCAAATAAACTTGAAGTAATAATAAAACAAAAACATAAAAAAAATTTAATGCAGTCGAAATCAAAGCCTATATTTAGGCTCTCTCCCCGCGGATGACGCCATCATGAAAGAGTGTGTGAGTCGAGTTCCAGCTCTCGTAAGACGCGCCTCGCCTTGCTTATAAGTTACGTAATAAATCAGTTGGTTCTTTTTAATCTGTATCGCATCATATTCGGTCCTTATTCCTCTTCTTCTCGTGTATGCAATAGGCATAAAACAGAAATTATGCGTCAGCTTCGACGTTTTCGTCACTGGGGGTGCTCGAATCAGCAGATTTCAGTGGTAACATTTCATACCATGGTAGTTAGCAATCTCCCATTCCATCTTTGCTGATTCTTATCCAACCTTGCATAGCAACGCGAGGAGTATACTAAGTGAAATAAATTCTTAGCCTTTTTCTGAGATATGTTACATTTATTCAGCGATTACTTTCCTTTTCTATATAATTGTCTAAAAACTGAACTCATAAAACCATTCCTTTAAAGAGAAAAAAACAGCCTTAGACAATCTCCTCTCTCAATGAGCGTGCTTGAAAAATTTCAAAAAGATGAGTAAAGCGTTTGCTTACAATAGAGAATAACCAACTCTGCGGTTGTTTTGGTGCTTTTCTATCATAATCCTAAGGAATTTCTGTATCGATACATAAGTATCGATGAATCATGAACACACTCCAGAGACAAAGGAGTAGTCCAAATGAACGTTTATAGGTGAACCGGTAAAAAGGTGAAGACGGCGAAATCAGCCAACAAGTTGATAGCTACGGTCTTTTAGGATATACGCGGTATGATCTATATCAATTACTTGGAAGATGAAAAAACAATATTATGAAAAAATTATGCATCATTGTTGTATCAGTTGAGTAAAGAAATCAAGGAAAAACGTCCTCTTTTGAAAAAAAGTGTCCTCTTCCATAAAAATAATATACGGTTACACATTTGTGTGGCGTCGATGGCCAAATTTATGGAATTAAATTTCAAATTGTTACAACATCCATCATATTCACCAGATTTGACTCACAGGGACCTCCCTTACTTCTAAACTTGAAAAAATAGCTTGGTGGACGTCGTTTTACGTTGAACCTAGAAGATATCGCTAAAACAAATGACTATTTTGAGGAGTTTTCAAAATTTTACTTAAAAACTTTGAAAAAAACGCTTTCAAAAATATATAGATTTAAAAGAAAATTATGTTGAAAAAGGAAACAAATCTACCTAAAAATAATTTTGTTTCTTTTTTTCTAAGTATATATTGAACGACTCTTGTAAATTAGCTTCAAGTGTTTCATTAATTATTATGTAATGATCTCGCAGTTCTCGTCAAAAGTTTTCAAATAGGCACCTATATTTTCGGAAAATATTAGTACATTTTTAAAGCCAGCTACTGATTTATTTACTAATGACAGAGAAATCGGCTCACTAGATTTGAGTCATAACAATGAACGGTAAAATCGATATAACCTTGATTCACACCGAAAGACTGTGGTGTGTTTACCTTTTTTTAATATAGATTTGATAATACAATGTATATTTATCGAAGAATGAAAATAGTTATGTACCTGCCGTCCACTTGAACAAATCTACTGTTAGAGATACTAGAAAATTGTAATCTCGAATTACTTTAATCAATGCGCGATAGTCAAATTAAATGTATGGTGGCTATGGCTCGCCGTCTTTGATAATTTTCTTATTACGCAAACACCGGTGTACTGTATGAGGTAATAGATTTTTCCATAATACCATTATTCAATAAGTCCAACATTTACTCGTTATAAAATTTATTAATTTATGTGAGAATATCAAAATTACCTTTATCTAATTAGAACTTTTGAAGTTGTGTTCAATTTGATTGGTAACTTGTAGTTTATTTTTTTGTATGTAAAATCACTACAGCTGTGATCTATAGGTAATGACACTTACCAGTGAGGACTTATAAGATGAAGCATCTCACGAGGTACTTTATCGACAACTGATTGATTGACATACTGCGACATCTGTTGCCGCGCAAATTGTGGCCCTATACTTGTCAGTGTAAGAGTAAATATATTATTACTTGCTGTTGTTGTTAGAGGGAACTGGTTTTCATTAATCAGTTCGATAAATTGATCAGAATAATGTTGAAGATTCATTTCTTGAAGTAATGTTCACACCGTTTCGTTCCAAATGAATTTCGTTCAATTTACTTCTTTTTTTTTGATACCACTAAATTTTCAATGTAGTAAAATTATTTTAATTTTGCTCATTAATTTAATTTAACGTTGAAAGAAAAACTGAATTGGAGTAAGCTAGAGATGATAATGATACTATTGGCGGGAACTGTAATCTGAAATTTATAATTAACAGGTTATTAACATTCAATTACTCCAAATGAGTAATATTATTTAAATAAATACATGATACAGTAAGCACATTAGATTAAAAAGATATAAAACAATTTTTCGTAGTTATTTCCGTATAATCTTGAATAAGATTTAATAAACAATGCAAAATAAATAGAAATATTTTGAATCCATAAACTACAGCTCTATTCAACTAAATAATTAAATATGTAAGCCACTAAAATGTATTTCATTGATTAAGAATAAACACGAACACTGTCAGTATTGAATATATTTGTAAATCAAACAATTTCGCATCAAGTAAATTGATGTGATTGTAGTCGCAAAGATGAGAGATGTAGTGCTATGTAAACATGCATAATAAGCGCCGCAATAATGGCAGACGCGCTATCGCAGCTCTGGGCACGTCTAGTAGAAATGAAACTGAGACTAGCAGTTTCAGCGACTGTGTGGTGAGGGACGTTATCTAGAGAAACGTAGAGCAGGCACTGCGCGTGGAGGAAGTAGTGAAGGTGCTTAGATGCCAACAGTCGAGGTGGAAGATGGGTATAGGACTGACTTACCATTGATGATATGTCATCGTGCGTCCGGAAAAGGGATTGACCAGTTATCATCCGATACCACGGTGGCCACTATGGGGTGAAGACGAGCCAGTAGTACTATCACCTACGTATTCAGGAGACTATAATCCTTAGCATTCAGCTAAGAAAGATGATACAATTTTATCTCATTTTTATCGACATTAGAGATTTTTCTACCACAGGCATTTGCTACCAAATAAACTACTGACGACAAGATTTTATGTATTGTAACGGAGAATCTCGGCTAGGCCGATCTCGTCCGTTTGGCTCTCGCAAATGTTCGTGCGCCGTGCCAAGCTAAGAGTGTGTGCGTTTGGTACACACACTCATGCTTGGATTTTTTGTTTACGAGGTGCTGAACATGGGCTGAGCTGACGACTGGAGCGATGCAGATGGCGCAGAAGAAGAGAGAGAGAGAGAGAGAGAGGGAGAGAGAGAGCGCTCGAATTGCGGAACGCGGTGGAAAAGAGAGTCTCTGCTAAGCGATGAGCCGAGGAAGTCGCGCGCGCGGATAAAACCGTAAGGTCACGGTTTTCCAAGTTGGCCCCGTGACCTCGTCGACGATCGTTCGTTTCGGAGACACGCCCGGTGCGCGGACGAGTATTGGAGCGTGAGACTGGGTCGCGCCCAGCCATGTTCCGAAGTATACCCGGCACCGGTGCGTGTGGGTAACCGGCGAGGTACGCGGGTGCGCGCGTGAGCAGTCTGGACGTGCTGCAGTACCGAACAATAAAGAGGCGGCGGAGACAACAGCAACAATAATTAACGAGCAAGGCACGGATTGAGGCAGTAGTATGGTGGAGCGAACGAGGGAACGAGAAAGAGGAAAATAGCGATGACAACAAACATCAGCGAGACGGTCAGCGGGGAGCACACCAGTGACGTCACGGTGCAGAGCGCTCTAGCCGTCGGAGAGAATGAAGGTCGAGGTCGGTGCCGTGTTTTTCTCTTGTCTCTCTCTCTCTCTCTTGCATGTTTGGGCGCCAGCTTATGGCTGGTAGCACGGCAGACCTGCTGGCTACCCGTTGGTAGTCTATCGGCGGAAAGTGTTTGTCGGGCATTTATTATAATATTTAGTTTTCACAAGGGAATCGGCAGGCTGAACAGCCACTGATTCACCTTCGCGTTTGTTATTGTGCCGCTCGTAGTGTATAAGTCCGAGGTCGCCGTATTGTAATCGATTGTTGACAATTAAAAGACTTGTGTGTTAATTCGCTGTTGTGTTTATTCGCCTCTGTATCACTCCTCATCCCGATCTCGAATCTGTGCATGTAACGTGGTCATGCTCGACGCGTTATTCAGTCGTGGGAACGTCTTTTGCTTCCCGAATCCCCGAATAAATAATTTGTGCGGACGGTCGCGAGCAACCCAGTCGGGTACGGCCGGAATTCTCCGTTACAGTATCCACAAATTCACGTCGAATTTTGATTCTAGGTTTGCATTTACGCTATTTAAAGCAAACAAAAATACGTGTTGATGACGCAAATGCGGTTTCCGGGATCAAAAGCTCTGTTCTGTTTAGACATATTATAATATCTCAAAAGAAGGTCCAAGGCCATAAGAACTGGTTACGCGAAATAGAGTTGCATAGCTTGCTTAAGCGTTCCATTCGGGTGATCCAATTATATATCGGTTTAGGCACGATACGGAGACTTTTTGTTCTATTTTTCAGATAAGACAAGTACGACACTGTTTAAAAAATTCAACAATATCCTTGAAATACCTACGCCAATAAAAATTGAAAACGATGCGATAAAATCTTTTTTCAATAGCTAAATGACCGGCACATAAAGCATTATGAGCGTCCTCAAGAGCTCTATGTTGAAAATTTTGAGGCAGTACTTTCCAATTTGAAAATTTGTCGAGATGCACAAGTATATCAGCGGAGCGTTTTGACTACCATGAATCATAATCATCCGAGAGAGCAGCAATTTCGGACTCTTTAGAGAACATTTACGATAATGCGTGAAGTATGTAGTAGAGTGTATCTTTACAGTGTACTCTTTTCATAGAATATATAACGAACGGCATGTAAGTTCGTTATGTCTCTCTCTCCCCAGGAAGCCATCAAATAATAATTATCTATAATAATTAATTATCATGTAAACATGTTTAAATAATTGCAGCGTGGACGTCAGCGAACCGGTAAGTGACGCGATTATAGTTCGATTATCGATATCGACTCGCGGCGCGAACCTCGCGGAGAGGCGAGCCCTTCGAGGAGAGAGAGAGACTAGGGACAAAAAGTAAGTCTGCTTCCGACCGGCAACGAACAAGCAACCGGCAACGCGAGCTCGCTGATTACTCGAGAGAGCAATTAGGTTTAATAGCCATACACGTGACAACCATCGACGCTGTTCCTGAAGAGTCTTGTGAACACTCGGTGATAGCGGCAGAGAGTAAAAGCGTGAACGCAAGAAGCGATAACGCGATTAACAAATACTTTGTAAACGAGCGCGCCGAGAACTACTTGCGAATCTACTGTAGAGCGACTCGTCAGCTCCAGCATTGTAAGTACCAGTCTGTTAACTTGGCTTCTCTCTCTATGGCTCTCTCCTCCTGCGTTGCTTAAATTGCGTATCCTTGTTGATACCTTACCGCGTAGTTGCTTATTTCTTTTCTATTTTCGTTCGGCCTACGAACAGGCTTCCGTTATACGTGTATTGTCGCTTCGTCCGACTTACAACAGAGCGAGTGCTTGCGCGACCTTAACTGCGTAGCGCGTGCGCAGTTCCGTTCGCTTCACTGTCAAGCTATTGCAAGTTTGTTGCGTTGCGATTAACTTTGTTTATATCGACGCGTTTTGATAGTATGTATTCCTTTGTTGATAATTAAAATTTACACGCATCCACTTTTAATCATATTCGAGTGCTTATTGTCCGCCGACTCCCTGTTCCTTGAACTGTAATTGTGTATGTGACTGTACCCGCGCGAATCTCTCTTCTTGGACGTCGCGCATCTTCACGCGTAGCCTACGACACTCTCCGCGGGCCAAGCTTTCTGACCGAAAAGGAGGCAACTGAGCTGCTGGACCCAGAACACCCGGTGCAGGAACATCGTGCTGCTCTGGAGAGCAACCTAATTTATTTCCCGCGACTTAAAAATTATATAACTGTTCCTGTCCAGGCGAAGCTGAGCAGAAACCCCGTTATAAATATTAGGTTAATTTCATGTCCCACCGAGTTAAACGACCTTTAGGATTTTTAGGACCTTTAGGGCTTTGTAGCAATTTCAGAGAGCTATGGTTGGTGATGACTCAAAATTTAGTGCCTTCGAATTGGTGTAAAAATTTATTGATACTCCATAAGATAGCAAAACACTCTCGCTCCGTTACAAAGTAATTACGCTCTGGAATAAATAAAGCCCGCGAGGCAAACACTATTACTTTTTCGATGCTATTGAAATTTTGGGTTAACACTGCTTCAAGGCCTGTATTGGAAGCATCCAAATGAATACAAAAGGACAATTTTAAGTTTGAAAAATCAGGTATCGAAAGCAAAACGAGTAACTCCTTAATGAGTACTAGGGCCGCGTTTTGATCAAGTCTTCAAATAAATTTAACTTTTTTTTCTGAGTCTCAGGAGTGGGTCTATTTTATCGGAAAAACTGTTAATTAAACGGTGATACCACTAACAAGGGAACCATCCCAAACCTCCGCCTCCGATTTTTCTGCAATTGAGATATGTTGTAGTTCGTAAAAAAATAAAAGACCCGTATTTTTTTTATCGGCGGAAAAAGCTATCTAAGGGATGAAACCCACCCCCAAAAAACAGCCCCAAAAGCAGTTTTATAGCAATATCTTTAGTGGTAATGAATATTTTTTTATAAAACAAAAAAACACAAGATACTTATAAAAAAAGTAACAGACACACATCAATTTAGTTCCCGGGGGTTGCAACGCCTACGTTGTATAGAGAAAAAACTGTATTTTTAAGTGTATTTTTACCTTACAAAATCAAAAAATTATGTTAAAAAAATTAAAAAAATGATATTCTAGTAGAAAATGATAAAATGAAATTGATAAGAGTGACTCGTTCTTTTTGGGGATGGATATCAGGCGATGGTCCAGGTCACCTGGTGGAAATCACTCGTACATTAAATGCAGAGCAGTACGTCGAATTACTAAATGATTTCCTGCTACCTGGAATAAGAGCGCGCTAACCACGTCAAGAGAAAATTTACATCGTTGAAGATAACAGTGCAGTACATACCGCTCGCATTGTTCGAGAGTGGTAAGAAGAGCACAATAATTTTATTGTGAGGCTACCGCATCCACCAAGGTTGCCTGATCTCAATTGCATTGAGAATGTCTGGGCGGAAGTAATTAAAGATTGGACACCGGCGAATCAGCGAATGGACCGAAACATGCTAATTAACAAAGTTGTTGAGAGTTGGGTCAGTAT